AGCAATTATATATATATATATAGATACATTAATAGCACAATAAATATGTGTAGCTTAATAAATTAACGTACCTGATTTGAGTGTCTTGGGACTCAATCTCCTTGTGAGCCTTCTCCCACACTGTGTCAAAAGAACCGGTGGACGTGTTAAGCCACTGCTTCAACACATTGTGAGAACTCTCCACCCTACACGACGTGGTGTTACCCAAATGCAGGAAGTGATCCGTCCACGCTTTGACAAATTTTTCCCTGTGGACTAATCACGTTTCCTCTACATACTGTGTAACAAGAGGGAACGCCCTGTACCGAAGCTGCATGTCCTTCACGGCAGAGTCGTACTCGACCACCGTGCTCGCTTCCAGGATCTTCTTCCACCGACCGCGCGTAAACATCTCGGCGAATTGACTATTTTTGTGGGTGATTTTATAGACCCTCTGTTCCACATCCTTGTTGATGTTCCACGTGCAAAGAAGGTGGACAGACGTCGGAAAATTAATCATAATAGGATTAATCAACCCCATCTCCCTGTCAGGGATAATGACTGAAGGATGTACATCAGGCCCAATCAGATCTCTCAACCGCTTCAGAACCCAGTCATAGCTGTTCTGGCTCTCGTCCTTCACAATTGCATATGCAATCAAGAAATTCTTGTTGCACGGCGTCATCCCTATTATTTCCACAAACGGCATCTTGTACCTGTGCAAATGAGGGCAACAAAATCAAACAAAGAATAAAAAACCGTACCTACTCAGACATAATAATTAAGACTCGTACTAAATTGTTATTTATAAAGTGACGTACCTGTTGGTTTGTACATCGAATCTATACCGACGTACCAATAATATGTTTGAAAGAGAAAGGCTGACTGGGGATGCGACATGAACACACGTGTCAAGGTGTGTGTGTCCTTATCAGAATCGGTGAAAACTATGTAATTAGCCCGGCTAGCCAGATGCATAAGCTGGGAAGTCACATCTCTGCCCTCGAAACTCTCTAATCGGAGTTGAGCCCAATAGTTGTAAACCTGTTGACGAATCGCGTTGTCAGACGGGTATTTCTCCTGTATCGCTGCCAATATTACCGTCGGTCTTACCTGGGCAGCTGTCATGTCACGGACGATCTGTCTCGCCTTTTCACTCAATCCGCTGAACTGTTGATGACCCTCGGGATACAAAACCATCGGATGATTGTGGTATCCCATCCGATCATCCAGAGGAAAACATACACTCCAGGAATCTTTCGTACCGGCCACTTTTTTCAATTTCATCTCAAACAGGCATCCGATATATTTTGTTTTCGACTTTCTCAGGATAGCATTAACAAGATTAGATATTTTATTACCTCGATAACGTTCCCCTCGGTTACACCTCAGAATCCTCAATGTTCCTCCCTTTGTGTGCTTTGAAATAATTAGTTCAAAATCACAGATAGTTGTCATACTGACTGCATAGTTAACAACTTTTTGAGACTATCAAATATCTCATCTGTTCTGAAAAAAGGCCAATAATCAACATTATCTCCTCTAAAATCCTCAACTGGCGCCTGCAATATATTACAATGTATGTTACCAAAACATAATCAATTATAAGTAACCATTAAAAAATAATAATTTATATTATATTATAACAATACATTCTAAAAATATTATTATTTTTTTAATAATAATATATATGACTAAAAATATTATTATTAAAAATATTATTATTTTTAATATATATTAATATTTTCATATATTATTATTTTTCATATATATTATTTTTAATATATATTTTTATTTTGTGTGTTAAATAAGATATATTCTTATTAAAAATAATATAAATTTAAATATTAATTATATATAATATACGACTAATATTATTAATATATAATTAATATATTATAATATAATTAATATATATATAAGATAATTATATATAATATATATATATTTAAAAAAAAAACTCGCGCCGGCCGGTTAAGCTCTGGCCGGTCCACTTTGCCGGCAAAAAATGGACCGGCCGGCCCAAGCCGAACCCGAGCTGGCCGGTACTAGCGGCCGGCCAAAACCGAACCAGGCGGCACTAGCGGCCGGTCAGATCTGAACTGGCCGGTCCGGCCGGCCAGCCGCCGCGAAAAAAAAAAACGCACCTTCTTCGCCGCCATCGTCGTCGCCGGAGTTAGTCGGAATTTTTTTCGAAATTTTTCGAAGTCCAGAACCGGGAGAGATAATGTATAAAATGCAAAATGAATTTGTTTTTTTTTTAATATAAAGGGCAAAATCGACTTTTGTGGGGGCAGTAAATATTAATATGGGGGGGGGGGG